TGAACAAAATCAGTCAACATGAAAGAATTCTTTCATGACATTAATCCATATAATATATAATTTCTTAAATCAAACATTATTCCTAAATATGACTTCAACAAAACTACAATATAAAACACACATATCACCGCTTCTCGTAATTATGTCCACACAAACATGTATATACACAAAAGCTATGTATCATCTACTATGTATTCAGTTGTGAAAACAGAATAACATAACATTTGTATTACTTCAAAGCTCGCAAAGAAATTAAATTTTAGCATTAAATAACCCATAAGATGTTAATACACCATTAAACAAACAAGTTAGACCAAATCATAAACTGAATATATTTTCTAATATATGAAGTACTAGCAGCATGGCCCGGCGTTGCCCGTGCTTGATTCAAAAATCGTACGACTCATACAGCAATCGCTATCACTTGACTTAAAATATTTTTGCCCTTCCTTGCCTTTAAAGGAGTGCCCTTTGCCGTGCTGATGTTGCTACATGCCTTATTTCTTGCCTCTCTCATCTCACACTGCGAATTTTTTCTAAGCTCTATACTAAACATTAAATCTGTTACAAAAAAAGAACTAAACAAAATGAACACAAAACGATCAGCTTTAAAAAAGGACTCGTAACTGGAAAAACCGAATGAAAAAACAAATGTTAACAACAAATACTTTTTCACACCCAACCCAGTTCTGCGGAATCAGAATCAACGTTGAGTTTAAGTAAGCGAATGAGCCAATTGGAGTAAAGTGCCATGCAGATTTAAATTTTTCCCACTTGTGACGAATGCAGCTATCGATTTTTTTTTTTTTTAGCATGCTAGTTAACATTCGTGTCAGCCAGCTGTTGGCGCTCACGCTGGCCAATAGAATCTTCCTGCCTATTCGTGGCAGCCAGCTATAGGCTCTCACTCTGTCCAGTAGAAATGGCCGCAAACCACATGAAAACTGCCGTAGAAGCATGAAAAAATCGATTATTTCCACTATTGATGGGGTTGGGAAATACAAAGTCGGTCTTGGCCTTCCGCTAACTTGGAGCATGTGCAAGTAAATTTTGGTGCAAATCCGTCGAAAATTGCGACCGTGCATTCGTTACACACACACACACACACACACACACACACACACACACACACACACACACACACACATCCCGCCTTTTATAGATAGAGATTTAAAATGGTTAAGCAATTTAGATCTGAAATGTTATCATCTTTTTGTAAGCTAAACAACGAGAAGAACCAGCTACCGGTAAAAGAAATAAGACGTTTACAAAGTTGACTTTATCTCTCTTGTCTCAGGGTCTCAGAGAAAAATCCTGGGAGAGATATTTGTCCAATTTTTGTTACGACTGGTAATTTCATGGAATATAAAATGCCATTCTGTTCGCACAGAGACGGTTGACAGCCAGAAATAAATAGAGACTTTAAAATCCTAAAATAAAAGGCGGAACGTTCTACACTTAGAATGTTCAATCTGTCATATGAGAAAGCGTTCACACAGACAGGATTTTCAATTAAGTGCAGACCAATCGCTGAAGACGAAATATTCTGAATGCCTCAACAATGAAGCATAACAAATCTTTGAAAGCTAATTTCAATATGTCTCTACTTTTCCAAGCTACGTTTTGGTTTCAAATTTGAAGGTGCATTGAAATGGCGAAAGACGCCTTTCAAAAGCTAAACAAAGTATTAAGAAACAAGAAAGTTTTGCTAGAAAAAAAAACTGCTGAACTGCTATGTAATTTCAATCATTCTATATGGTGATTTTCTAAGCAAAGCTTAGATGTGGTGCAAGGCTGAAAGTATGGGGCACCTAGTGAGGATCAAACTCACTACTCAGTCGTAATTGATCTAGCGAGACAAGCTTGCTAACCATTACACCGCCTCGAGGTGCTCAAAGTGATTTTCCAAGCGCAGCTTAGATGTGGCACAAGGCTGAAAGTATGGGGCACCCAGTGAGGATCAAACTCGCTATTCAGTCGTAATTGTTCCAGCGGGACAAGCTTGCTAGCCACTGCACTACATCGAGCTGCCCACAGTAATCCTTTATGGCATTTAATTTTTGACAATTTCTTCACATTTACACTATTTACATTCGGACTACTGTCATCATTTTTGTTGTTTTTATCACAACGTTTCAGCCGTTGTGCTCTCTCGCCTTCCTCATGTCTATATCGATCCGGGTAACTGACAGGGAATTCCGAACAGAACCCTTTATTTAATCTACAGGAGTAGACCGTTCTCGTTTCACTGCTTATATCTAGGAATATTTTTGGTTTACTCATGTGTAAGGAAAAACATTCAGACATTGGGAAATGAAAGTTACTGAAACAAATTTTAAATAAAAAAATATTAATTGCTCCATTCTCTTTTTAATAATGATGTTTTCTATTTGTTTATTTCATTACAACCGGTAATGACGAAAGAGGCACTGTAGGAGATTTAAGGTAAAGAAAGAGTGAGTGTCCAGTAATACTGAAAGCCGACTACTTCTATACGTTTCCTCAGTTGTATCCTGGGTGTGATGATAAACTACATCCGACAGCAAGACTTCTGATCGAGAAATTGGAGGTTTTGGGTAGAGTGGAACCACCTCTTAATAGCTGTTGTTCCCAGATCCGCCCTGACTCGGGGTGCTAGCTCTTGTTATGGTCACAGCTATGGGCAAATAATGAACCCCCCCCCACCAACCAAAAACAAGAAAATATGAAAGTATAAAAATACATATTTATAGTAAAAACACCTGCAATACATTTTAAAGGAAAATAACTAACAATTCATTTTTATCTGTAGTCGAAGGCATATACTTGTGTTAAAAATATATTTAGTTGGAGCCATATAAATATTATCAGATAATTTGTATTTTGCCATTAAATAACCCATAGAGGTATTGATATGCCGCTAAACAAAACCAACCAAACCAATTTACACAGTTCAATTACAGTCGATACTAAAATGTATTTAAGGTTATTATTTCACTGTTTTCCCCATACTGTGTGAATTAGATTTCCCATTTGATATTTAAATTTTAAAAGAATTAGAATTTACTTGTTTGAAATAGGGTTTCTCAAACTGGGGTGCACGAGAGAAATTCATTTTTCACTTTCTTTTTATTTTGCAGTAAGGTTTACCGTGTACAAGGCTCGGAAGCCACTCGAGGTAGAGGTAGTTTATATAGATAAGACGTGACGATATCAGTTAACTCTAGACTTGAACATGCTAAGATTGTAGGGCTCGGTGAAACATCCTCTTAGGAGTCTGTTCCACAGGGAAGTGGTTCGATTGGAACCTACTTTCGCCGATGGAACACGGGGGAAATGAGGGTGTTTTGTTAGTATGTAAGTGGCATGGCAGGTCCTAGCCGTGAAGGTTAGACCTGGTGGAATCGAGGAATGTAGTTCGTCCGAGCACTTTCCATTGTAGTAGCGAGAGAGGAGTGAGCGGTTCGAACACATCCCGCCTGTGAGAGAGAGCTTGGGTTGGTGGAAAATAATTCTTCTCCAACAAGGACTCAGAGAAGCTTTTGAACTCTTTCAAGACACGAAAATGAGGACTGGGCATCTCGCGCGCGAATATGACAAGAGTAATCCTTTTTCGGCTTGATCTGGTTCTTCTAAAGGAAGACGATAGCATGAGGAGTCAGGTACTTACTGAAGCGGTACAGGGATCCGATTATTTTACCTGCTTCTCTAGCGATGAATCGTTTATAAGAGTTCCAGTTGAGGTCGGGTGTGATTTTGAGGCCCAATATTCTCTCAAAAGCACGAAGCCTCGTTGAGGTGATATCTGTTCATCGTGGTGGTAGTTCGGTGTCTCATCGGCGGTGACAGAACTCAATCAAATGTCCCATGATCTCTGCAATTTTTCTTCTTTTTATGATGAAAGTGTACCAACATCCTTTTCCTATATGAGTAAAAAGACACACCTTGTTCTCTTTATTCCCTATTTTAGTATTGTCTCGTTTCTGGTTCCCTTCCAAATTAATACTAGATCTCTTTCAGACAATTTGTACAATGTTTGAATGACTCAATGACCAGTGACTTTTTCTTAAATATCTTCCCAACCAAAATTTTATTTTGGTCCCATGGTGTAATCATACACATCTCTATCTAAAAGACGTGAAGAAGTCATATTCCTGTTCCCATCTACTTATTGTCGTGAAGAAGACTTTTCAGATATGGGAATAATCAAAATTTGTGCAAGACTGTCAATTATAAATGATATACGAGTCTGTTTCTCAGAAACTGTCCCAAGAACTGATTAAATTTCTGATAAGATCCAATAATTTGTCTATTAGGATTTAGATAAAAATGGCGACGCTCAGTCTGTAGTCACAGATATTTCGAAGGCATTCAATAAGATTTAGTATACACCTTTTCCCCAAACTCAAGGGCTATGGCGTCTCTGGACGAATATTTGACTTAAATCAACCGTTCTTAATGAATCATGTCGTGAAAGACATAAAGATCATTTCACATTATTGCAGGAGTCCCCAATGACTCCATCCTTGGACCTAAGTTGCTTTTATCTTCATCAACGGCCTTCCGGATGTCATCAGTGCCTAACTATCTGCAAATGACAAAACTAGTTACTACTATCGCCGTAACAAGTCCGATAGGTAAGACAAAAAAAATGGCAGTTGCTCCCATAAGTAACTGATAAACTAGGGTAGGGAAAATCCTGTAAATTTTAACGTCCCTAAAACAAAACTACTGTCCTTAAATCAGCATTTTCTGCTTTCCATCGGCACGGTTGATGCTAACTTCCAGGAGACTAACTCATTGTGCCTTTTGGAGCTGATGTTTTCTACTGACATGTAGTGGAGTAACTATATTGAACCAATTGCTAAGTCTACTGCTAGGAAAGATGGTTCACTGTGTCATATCAAATGGTTCTTCTCGACAAAATCCATTTTGCACCTTTATAAATTTACCATTCGTCCGTACATTGAATATTTCTAGCATATTTCTCGTTCCGTAACACCAAGCGCACATTCAAGTTTATAGCACCTGGTATTCCCATGGGGTCACCCATCTAGGTACTGACAAGGCGTAATGTTGCTTAACGTCGTTGATCGTACGAGAATCGGTGTTTCAACGTGATGTGGAACGATGAGGACATTACCTTGCATGCAAATAATGATGATTTCTCATCCCAGAAATTCAGTTAGAAACTTTCAGTAATTAATCATGGTTGAGAATTTAAAGTCATCCTAGACTGGCTGCTACCCAAGGCATGAGATCCTATTCTAAACTGTTATGTAACCCATAGCCGAAGAGCCAAATAAGGATTCGTCCATGCTTAGAATATTGCTGTCACATATGCTCTGGTGATCTGCTATTTACCTTAAACTCCTTGATAAAATCAAAAGAAAAATCAGCAATATTATTGGTCCTGATCTGGCGGCTCGGCGTCACTTATATTCCCACCGCCATAAGATTGCCTCTCTTTGCCTTTTCTATAAATACTTTCATGGTAATTGTCCGGATGACCTCCCTGCTATGGTACCTAGACATTTTGAATATAAGCGCAGTACTAGACTGGCGTCAAGATCCCATCAGTTTACTGTTGAGCTGGCTAAATTTGATGCTAACAGTTTCTGTTCTCGCACTTGTCGCTTGTGGAAATCTTTTCCAGCTACATGGAAAGTTGCCTCTCTGTGTTGTGCTGAAAAGTTTGTTTTTTTGTCTGAGTCCATTCTTCAAATCTATAAATCAACCATCCATCCTTGCATGGAATATTGTTGTCATATATGGTCTAGTGCTCCCGCTGTACGTCTCGAGGTCCTCGACAAAATCCAGAGACCATATGCAAGATGATAGGTCCTGATCTGGCATCTAGTTTACAATCGCTATCTCACAGACGCGCCGTGGCCTCCCTTTGTCTCTTCTGCAAATATTTTAACGGCAACTATTCCGACGAGCTACTTTCGCTGGTTCCCGGACTACATAAATTTAAACGAGCTACTAGGCTGGCATCTCGCTTCCACCCTTTCACTGCCAAAACGGTTAAATGTAACCGTCTCTTCACAAACAGCGTCTTCTCCCGCACTTCCCGTCTGTGGAACTCCCTTCCCCTTACTTGCTTCCTCGATGACTATAAGCTTCAAATATTCAAATGTAATGTCAATCAACATCTGACACCCCGAGCTTGTCTCCCGTTCTTCTCTGTTTCCTTTCCTCAAACACGCCTCTTTATTCTTGTTCTCAATCCTCTGTAACCCCTTGCGTGCTAGTGGCACTCCCGCCTTGCTTGGAGTGAATGGCCTTTAAAAAAAACGCTTTCCAGCCAACTTTAATCTGCAAAACATTAAATGCAATGCCAATCACCATCTACTCTCTTCCCGTTTACACTTTTCTCTTTCCGCTCATTATTAATGTTTTTGTCCCTAATTCTTCCAGACACTGCAATCCCTTGTGTGTTAGTGGCTTACTGCCTCGCATGAAGTGATAATGATTAAAAAAAATTTAAAAAAGGATTTATAACATTCCTAAATATATTAGTGCGAAAGTAAATGCAATAGGGTAGGCCAGGATTTGAACTCGGTTTGTCGATTTTATGTACTATATCGTTATGTTACATGCAGTGAAATTGAATTTTAATTTTAGATACACTAACAGACAAAGCTAAGATTAGATTTGCAGTATAAAAACGTCTACCTGTTATACCTGAACGTACCTATTCTTTTATTAATAGACTCTCCCACACATAATAAGTAGTAGTAGTAGCGGTCACCAGTGAGCTCGGTGGAGTTGAGTGAGTCAGTCGATGTCGGGCATTGAAGTATCAACCACCACAACTAGATTGCTGCGTCATTAACTATTATTGCAAGTTCCTAACGTTTTGTACGTCGGGCTTATTGAAATACAAGCCTTCACTGTGAAAACTACTCTACAACACTACCAAAAACAAAGAAAAAACATGATTGCATATGCTATTCAAAGTAAATAATAAATACATTTGAGAAGGAAGGAGCGTTAAAAATTCAAATTTAAAAGCATATGCAATATATGTGGCTTTTTTTCGTCGATGGCGACGGTCGGTAGCGGAAAATAAGTTATCTTAAAACACAGCGCCGCTCATGATTAAACAACCAATAGGCGATCGGTACGACCACAAACAACGACCACAGTAGGAAAATACTGTGGAGTTATTTACCGTGGTGCATTTGCGTCTTTGTCAAGCCCCTACGGCGAGCTGGACTCTATTCTCTTCATCGCTCTTTGCACCCGCGAAAACAGGAGATCCCCACCCCACACATTCCCGAGCAACCAGATCCCAGTTTGCAACATTGAGAGAAAATTCATAAATGAACGTTTTAAACTGGTCATTGAAGTAAAGCTTTGGATCATCCATCGTTACGCGTGGTCTCAGACAGTTCCTCATACAGTATCTGTTTGGGAATTCTGGCGTTATCCATGCGAGCAACGTGCCAAAGCCACCTGAGCCGCAGAGACTACAGGATGGGATATAGTTTCTGAATGCCAGCTCTTTTGAGCAATTCTGCAACCGCGACCCTATTTTGAAAATTTAAATTTTAAAACATTTCTTAAACATCTCATGTGAAAACCATTTATTCTCCTCTCCTCCCCCAGCATACAAAGCCAATGTCTCACTCCTGTAAAGGATTGTTGAAAGCGCCAACAAAGTGATTAAGCTTAAAATCTGAAGGAAAAAACGTAAGAACGTGAAGGTAACAACCTGTTAGAGTTAAATCTTAACATGTTTTAAAGAGCTAACAGTTTATTTTGCGTATCACTTATATATTTTATTTGTTTGTGTATATCCCTGTTTAATTTTGAGATTCTTTATTTTGCAGCTGTTCCGTCTCCGGGATCCGCATCTGAAATTGCGGAATTTACAGATGAATCTGAAAGTAAGATAAATTTTGAATATATTCACGTCTTGTTTATATATATATATATATATATATATTGTTATATATATATATATATATATATATATATATATATATATATATATATATAATAAAAGAGAGGAAGAATATAAGGTGTATAGTGGCTCGGATTTAGGAATTGGCGTGCCGAGTTCGAATTCCAGTCGAATCCATAACATTCACTTCGGGAAGTTATTAATCCTTTTCTTCTCCGGCCAGCTTTGGTTAAATAGCAGGACAGACTGGGTTCTATAGCCTTGGATGGCAACTTGTCTAGGAGAAAGACAACTCTGAATTCGTTTGGGGACCTTGTGGCACAAAGCCTTCACGATATAATCAATGTCCGGCTTTTGGTTCATAGGAATTGATCTGCTTGACCAAATACGACGGGTCTACCATATATATATATATATATATATAAGCCGGGATCGATAGATATCTTACGTCTAAGCCATCGTTTTAACGTTTTTCTCTATTTGAAAGACGCTAGCAGCTCAGAGAACCCAATTCATACTTGAAGAGTAACGCTTAAAACAGTAGAAGCAGCTGTTTTTAAAAAACACTTTTCCCTAGAGAGCTCAACCGGATTTCCGGGAGAATATCAGATAGACTGATTCGCTGTATCACAGCTCCTCAGGGTGGCTAAACGTCCGATTGAAAGAAAAAATAGGATCGAAACCCGACTAATTTGACATCAGTCAGATATTTTACCTCTATGCCATCTTATCTCTAGGCCACAGCAGAAAGGAAGGATCAATTTAACGTTTTTTCTATACAGAAATAGGCCAAGAGACAAGAGAACTCAATTCATAATTGAAAAGTAATATATATATATATATATATATATATATATATATATATATATATATATATATATAGAAACTATACTATATAATATATATATATATATATATATATATATATATATATATATATATATATGTTTATATATATATATATATATATATATTATAAATTAATTGATTTAAAATATGTTTTTTTTCTTGAGTTCTAACCATGTTTCAAAAATGGAAGCTAAAAGCCCTGAATTTAATTTTGTAATTAAATTAAAGACATTAGTTCCATTTCATCCTCAAGCGAATTTTGGAGTAACTTTTAAAATTACTGGGTGTTAAATACACAGCTAAAACAAAATTCATGTTTCCAAGGTTACAGATAAATCTATTTTTCTAGACAGGGGTGTCTGGGTGTTCAAGACATATTGAACACCCAGGCACCCCTGTCTAGAAATATATATATATCAAGTGCGCCACACGGTTTCGGAATTACTACAAGCGAATAGCACATCCCGCGCAAACAGTAAAATCTTATTATTATTTCAAACTTCATTGTCATGTCCAAACCATTATCTCGTTATCTAAGAAATACTGAAAAATCAATAAAAGTGACATGAATTCGTATCGATCAATATTCGTAATATCTTCTTCGTAAATACATTTTAATCACTAACAATAACTGTGACGCCCTCAGATGCAATTTGGTGAGCTGGATACAACATATTGAAACTAATTCAATAGTAAATATCTACTTGCATGGACACTGTTATTATATTTGTAATGTTGTTTATCATCGCAAGTCAACATCTATTAGGTTGCCACGCATGAAATGACGCACTTTATAGGAAATGAATAAAACGCTTCTGAAATGTTAAATAACTAATTTATTTAGTTGAAATAGGCGCCATGTTGATGAATGACCGTTCTCCAATGTCTCTGTAAATTCTTGATCCCATCTTTAAAAAGTTTCTCTTCCTTTCAACAGTTCAAATGTTTCGATTAGCTCTTCTTTATTAAAGAACGTTTTATTGCGTATGAAAAGCTCAAAAGGCTTAAATCAGTAATAATCAGTAGGAGAATAATCAGGTAAATATGGAGGCAAAATTTCATAATTCAGGCTCTGCAGCTTTTAGAAAATTGATTGAGAAGCGTTCAGTTGTGTGTTGTCGTGCAGCAAAATTGGGCCATCCCTATTCACAAGTCTAGTATGTTCATTTTTTTTAATTTTTCGCGCATATACTAATTTTTTCACAATACGAGGTTGCTCTTTATTTACATTATTCGGACTATTGTCCTCATCTTTGTTGCCATATTTATTACAACGTTTCGGCCGTTATACGCCCCAGCCTTCTTCAGTGAGCACTATGAAAAATGGTTGTTGAAGACATTAGGTTTATAATACCC